CTAGTTTAAATTGATTAAAAATAAACAGATATTTATTCAATATGAGTAATTCGATATTATTGTCATCAATAATATATTTTTTTAATGATAACCTAAATTCAAAAGTCCATAAATATTGGTAAATAAATGTATGCTAATTTAGAAAACAGCTCACTATTAATAAATTCATAAAAAATACTCCCTTCGGTCCTATATATAGGCTTCAAATAACCGAATCATATTTAACGAACTATAAATTAAAATTAGTTAAAAATAATAAATAGGTCAGAAATGATTTTTTTTCCCTAAATTTGCCCTCATATTTATTAAGAGAGTAAATGAAAGGCAATAAATGAAAAAAAGATGAAAGGGAATATATGGGGGTAATATTAATGAGAGAGAGAGAGCATTAAATACAGTCAAGTAAGGGCAAAAGAGGAAAAAAAAAGTAATAAATGCTCAGACAAACTAAAAAATGAAGCTTATATTTTGGACTAGACTTATCTCCAAAAGTGAAGCTTATATATAGGACTGGAGGGAGTAATATTTTTTGTCTTTAATATAAGAGTTAATTGAATGGTTAAATTTGGTTATAAATATAAGATTTCACTATATTTTATCTTTAGTTCTTTCCTAAATATTCTCATTAATTGTAAGAGCTTCTTACTAAAAGTTAACATAATGCACATGATTAAGGAGAAGAGCTCAGGGAGACCAAGTGATATATCCTTACTTTATAGCATGTTTTTATGTAGAACTAAGGGATTTTATACTATTCAAAGGGTTTTAAAATGAAGTAAATAGTCAAATTTTGAATTAAGAAAATTATATAAATTACTTGCTTAAAATGCATTTTTATTATATTTTTATAATTTTTCTTTTAAAAGGTATCTTTACTTTGATTCCAGGGAGTATTTCATTAAACAAAAGAATGGACCCAGATTTTAAAATTGAATTTTTAGAAGCTACAAGCATAATTTGGGAGACCGGATTGAAGCGTTACTGTAATGAAACAAGATAGAACAATATTCTATAGTTAGATTTGGTTAGAGCAGCGCCGGGCAAAACATTAATTTCACGAGCCAAGAGCAAAATGGTTATTTTACATAACTAAACTTGAAAAAAAATTTGGGTCCCATGGAGCCTACATTTATGGCAGCCTATTGGAATTAAGAAAGAATTTTCTAATTATCTAATTGAAAATTATTAAATATCTAATCAAAATATCTCCCATCTTCCTCCCTAAGTCAAGATGTCCCATATCTTCCATTTATTCCTTTTTTTTTCTTCCATGTAATCCATTAATTTCGCATTACTCACTTTTCCCACCACTTAAATCATGCGAAATCATCTTTGAGTTAGTGAATATTTTTTGTTTTATCCATTTGAAAATTTCTGCAATGTATTTGGTCAAAATGGAGATCAAGGAAGCCTCGGAAAAGCATAAAGCCATCTATACTTACATCAAGAGCATATATTTGACTTCGCCTTTCTGTCTAGTTGTTTATTATCTTCTTCTTATTTTCTTTTTATCATTATAGAGTCATCTAGCCATATGTGTGGCTAGTATTCTTCGTTCCTGAGGACAAGATCATGTGATTTGAGTTCTTATTTATATTAGAGAGTTTGTTAATTTCAATATATCAATCCGCGTGTGTTGCTTGTATTAATTTCCTAAGTTATAATTTTTCTTTTTATTTTTATATGTTTTGTTATTAAATTTGTGTTTCAGTTGAACAATTATGTTTTGAAGTTTTCAATGAATATATTTTTAGTTTTCTCATGATTTATATACGTTCATATTAATAATTTTTTATTTTGATTTATACAAGCAGTTTATGTTGTAGGATTCTCGGTAAATAATTCTCTTTAAGGAACCATATATAATTGTTTAATTGAACTTACAAGCTAAATGATCTTTTTTTTCAGCAAGCTAAGTACTTTTTAAATGATTAATTGAAAGATGATTATATACTAGTTTTCTAGGTATAATTATTAATTAATTGATCATGACTTAGATGTTATCTAGGGTATTTCTTTTGATTTAGTAATTATTTTTATACAAACCTTTCATCCTTTTGAACTATAATAGCCATTTATTAACATTCTTAAAAAGTGCATCATTCTAGTAAAATCCTCTTTTTTTTTTTTAGCTTTCTTGAAATTTTCATTGTTTTCCTTTTATTTTTTATAATTCATTCCCTTAAAAACATCAATTAACTTTCTTTCCAGCTCCTTTTTTTTTCCCTTTGCATCATGTTTTTCTTAATTAAAAGGTTTTCAAAATTTTAACAAAACTTCTCAGAGAGAGATGGCTTAGATTAACTTCTGTACTATATAGGATTAATTTAAATAATTAATTTGAGAGCTTGCAAACAAAGTGATTAACTTATTTTCTTAATATCATTAAATTAATTATGTAACTCTTATATTAAGAATAGGGGTGGTATAATTCATCTTAAAATTTGTATGATACATCAAGTGCACAATTTAGCTTTTGAAAAACTTACATATAACTTTTCAATAAGGTTGAAAACTAGACCAATCAAATTATTAAACCGCATGACGCAGGGATTCAAAGAGTAGAGGTTTCACCGTATTTAAACTGAAATATACCTCATTATAATTATAATTATATAACATAATTAAAATACACAAAAATGTTCATATTTAATTTTAAAAAAGAATTAGTCCAAAAGTAAATAAAACATTCATTTATAAACACACACATTGCAATAAAACAGAATTATTAAAGCATAAATATGATATAACGCTATTTTTTCTTTTGTTTTTTTACATTGAAAATGACATTGTTTTAGGCTCAATAAGATGAGAAAACAAATATAAAATCCAACCTGATTCATTCATCCAACTTTTTAACTGGACTCATCAGAAGGTTGGTTTTCTAATTCACCAATTCAAGTTAAATTTTAATAACATACTCCCTCCGTCGTTTATTATAAGATCCAATTTTTTGAATAAGTTTGTTTCTTTTTATAAGATCTTTTTTGAGTTTGTCTGAACATTTAATGTATTATTACCTATTTTGCTCCTAATTTAATATATTTAATATATTTTCATTCTTCATTTATCTCACTATTATTTTCTCACATCTACCTATTTATATAGGGGTATATTTGGAAAAAAAAATTTTATTTACTACATATTAATTACTTTTAACTAATTTTAACTTTTTTTTAAACTGCATAATTTAGTTAAGAAAATCTTATAATAAGAGATGGAGTAGCACTATTTTCTAATTATGCCAATATTTTGTTAGAACTCTTTTTTCTTTTTTCGGCGGGAGTGAATACTTGCAGGACTCTTGCGAAAGTAAAATATGGCCTTTTGGGGGCAATAAAATAATGATGGGATAGGAGGGATAATGATTTTTTTTTTTTTTGGACTCGGAGGGATAATGATTGAATGCGATGGAGTTAGCGAAATTTGTATGAAGCGTTAGTTAGAAGACATGACACGAGAAAGCGCGGAGATGACAGATGTCATGCACCCCCATGCCTTCTTTTTTGACTTGTCCAAAAGCAAACCCTTACTTTTTTTCTTTTTTGCGTTCTCCTATTCTTTTCCTTTTTTTTTTTGGCCAATTGTTCTTTTCCATTCTAGAGTACAGAATTTTCTTTTTCATATGCAAAGAATTACGCAAAAGATAGGGAAAGAAAAAGTGGGGGAAAAATAAAAAGGAGGGGAATGGTATACATTTATTGAGGAATAATAATAAAGATCCCATAGAAAAATGAAAAAGATAAATACAAGGTGATGGTGGTCCCGGATTAAAGGAAACCTGTCTGCTTTTTGTAAAACATAGTAAATAATTGAATTACAATGTAAATTAAAAATAATAAATATGTAACAATGTAACTTATTTTTTTCCTTAAAAACACTCTTATTTAAAGAGAGAGTAAGTGAGTGGATAATTAATGCAGTGAGATTAATCAATAATTAATTTGTAAAAAAATAAAAATAATGCTAAAAATTTTAGGTCGATTATTAATGTGTCATAAATACAAATATATAGATAAATAGAAATTAGTTCTAATTCTCACATGATGAAAAAAACTAAAATAAATCAAGAAGAAAATGATCCGTCCAATCGTTATACATTGCTAAAATTTGAAAATAAAATAATTGGAATTTCTAAATAACCAGTTAAATCGCTATAGTAGTTAAGGTGAAGATAAATTTTATTAGTAAAATAGGGCTTATAAAGAGTCCATTTATTTTGAATCTCCAGACAAAATCAAAAAAATGGATCCCAAATTTGTTATGGATAAGATGGGGAGTACTTTTTTAACCTGTAAGACGGGGAGCACATAAGTAACTTATATGTTAAAAATAGATAATCTTATTTAATAGTCATAAAATGAGATTATATATTCACGGACATCTAAGCTTAGGTAAAGTATCAAAATATTGAATTATCAAAACAATGATATGGTTCACTTTCAATTAAAAATAAATAAAAGAAAGGAAAAGGACAAAAAAAGGATGGTCCTGTGCTTAAAAGGAAGCCATACCCAGTCGTAAAGCAACAGAACAACGGTGCCTCTTCCCACTGTATGTCGCAACCACATGTGGTATGGGGACTGGGATTCCCTGGTCCCCCCACGCCGACACTATTAATTATATTTGTTTTATTTTATTCTTTTAATTTCATTTTTTTAAAAGAAAATTAATATGATAAGTTTGATCAGTTTTATCATTGGAATAAAACATTTAATTTCCGGAACATTCCTGCATGAATTGTATTCATGCACATACAAATTATCACAAATATCAGAATTTTATTTTTCTAAATAAATTATCACGCATTTTTTCCTACTATTCAATACACTGTATGTACTACATATAGGCTGCTGGTCAAAAAGATGTACTGCATATAAGCATTTCTCTCAACTCTTTTCATTCATTTCCAACTGCAAATGTTATTTGACAAGATACAAATATCATAACTAAAAAAATAATTTTTTTTCCAGAGAGAACCAAAGGACACATTTGATATATAAATAATTAGACTAAAAAGAATTATCATAAATAATGAAACAATACCATATACCCCATCTGTTATCTATAACAAAAAAAAAAGCAAAAAAAAAAAACTACATACAGAGAGGAAAAAACTGAATGAATTTCAACTCTACCGTAACAAAGTCAAATCATATATTTATACCAAAAAGAAAAAGAAAAAGAAAAAGAAAAAGAAAAAAAAGTGAGGACTCATCATAATCGTCACTGATGAACGTTCTGTAACCTGGAACCGATCATTTTGAGCTCAAATTTCTTGATAACGCCGGCGATGTCTCTCATGGTGGTATCCAAAACGTAAGGGATTTTCTCGTGGTAGAGATCTGTGGAATTCACAAGCATTTTGCAGGTTTCTCTTCGGGCGGCTATGGTTCCATGGTAGTGATAGTATTTAATTCTGCCCTCTGTTTTGTGAGTTGTTTTCCCCATCAAGTTCTGCGACATGTGAACGCCCGTTGCGTACACATTACGAGGTTGTACCGCGTACTTTCGATCCCTCCTTATGCCCCTCTTCACGTCTTTGTACACTAATTTCTCAAATCCCCACTTCCTGCATTGTTCCAATTCTCTCGCAGTTATTATACAACACAAATACTTCAAAGGCAAAAACAGAGCATTTAAATGCACTTTTACCTACTGTTTCTGGTTCTGAGCATGAGAACTAAATGAAAAACTTGTTTTAGTTTTGAATGCAGGACATTAATTTAATCAATCTCATAAATTTATAATTTATTCTCCGAACGGCCCTAATGATTGCTCGTACTAAAAAGGGTTCATTAATGAGGACAATTTCCCATGCAAATAGTTACTAAAAATATGCTTTACAAAAATTAACCCATAGTTTTTATAACAATTAATTTAACTAATTTTTTTAATTTTTCTAAATTAATCTAACATCCATACTTAAAGATCAGTCGAAATATTTTTTTATGTAGGGAATAATTTGCACTTGAGCCGCAATAAGCAGAGTAACACTATCTTCTTTGGTTAGATAAATTGCTTAATAGAGCCTAAGAATATATTACCTCCGGTTCTAATTATAAGAACTTGTTTATTGCCTACAAACGAGGTCTTATAATTAGAACTGGAAGTACTACCCTTCTAGTCCTGTTTATAAGGCACTTTCAACATATTTCGCATGGGTTAAAAAAAATTTTTAAACTTCATTAACTCTCATTTAAAATACAACAACTTTCTAACTTTACCCATATTTAATTTATACAGCTTTTAAAAAAAAAATCATCTACACTATAATAAATAAAAGACAAAATATACATCTATACTAAAAATTTAATAAGATGACTTATAAATAAGACAAAAAGAAAAAAACCTTCTCCCTTTCTTAACAACACGACCAAAGGAGTAATATGGTAAAGCTCAAAGTTGTAATTAAAAGAATATATATATATATATTGTTCAAAATTGACTAGTGAAAACCGTTTGTTTTCAGAATTTGGGTTTGACCCAGAGGTCAAAAAAAAAATGCTGAGCCGTGTCCTGGCTCAAACCTGTCCCGTGTTCCTAAATAATAAAAACATATAAATTTATTAAAAATATAGATTAGTTATTTCTGTTTGCAAACAAAAATGTAAAAATACATAAACAAATAGATTGTTTTAAAACATATTTTCTCACAACCTAAAAGTTATCATTTTCAGATTAAATAGCTGCAACTTCAAGCATGACACAAATATAATTTTTAAACAGAGGAAAAATTAAAACCCCCTAAAAATAGAAACAGAGCGAAACCCTCCTACAGTAACACACAAACACACACACACAAATACACAGTTATACACAGATCTAAAAATAGAATACGGGGGAGTACAGAAATCTACCACAACCTAACCTATGGTGATTCCAATTTCTCTATCCCTCTTAAATTACAAAGAAAATTCAAATTCCCAAACGCGGTAGATGTTATAATCAGACAATCTGTAAATGCAACCATACATTTGACAGCTCAGACAATACCTTTGAGACTTTGTTTTCTTCAACACGTGACACTACAAATAAAAATCGAACCACCCACCACCACTACTTGCCAGATAGATGCATAACTGTTATTGTGGTGATGTTGATGCATCCCCATAATTAAAACCTATATTTAGTGGCACGCATGCCTACTAATCAGTCATATTCAATATTGATTTGTGGACATTGTTAGTAAAATGTCTTATTCTAGACCCAAATGTCAAAATAACCAATTCGACTCAAACAACATGGAAATCTCTTAATTAATGAGTAATGTGTAAGTTCTACCACTATGAAGATTTCGTTAATTCGGTTAATGAGTAACATACAAGTTCTTCTAAATGGCCAACTAGTTGATAGGGATATGACTCATTCTTACAAGTTACAAGAGTGTGAGTTCAAATCTTATTAATAGAAGCATTGAGAACTAAGAAGTGGAACTTAGAATCATCATGCTTAACCCCAAACCTAACTCACCAACACTTTTATATGCCTGGAAAATGTTAATCTAAACACAGCATGCTCATATTTTTGCTTTGGGTTTCTTTTTCTTTTTCAATTACTTTAATCCAAGTCATTTTGAAAATTTATACTGCATCCATCTATCTTACTAAAGAAGACAATACTGATGATATTATAGAATGGCTGAGAATTTTCAGCAACACAGTTCAGATCATTGACCAAGCAAGAAGAAATTGTTATTTTTAACAATAAGGTCCGGCACTTGGGAATTTCTAGGACACACATGACAATAAAACTATTGTTTAATCCTAATTTTGACACTACATGTCAATGCGCGTTAGGAGGATAACACATGACACATGAATGGGTCTAATAGTTCCAAATTCATCAATCATCTTGTTCCCCGTCCTCTGCCTTCTCTTTGAAAAACAAGACAATTATAATCAATAATCAGTGCCAAATGCCCTTTATTGATTGTTCCATGACGTTAAGATTCAACAAAGAAAATAAATTTCTATTTTGGACATAACCATAAACCCATCTAGATCAGCTCTGAATTTCAAATTGAATCTAACTCAACTTGTTTGATCAATTCAAACACAAATTCGGTTCAACTCATAGCAATCAGACAAGATCTCAGATTACGAATGGAAACAGTAAGATCAGAGACAGATAGAATGACAGATTGTGAAAGTACCTGTAAGTTTTGCCGTAGTCTTCAGAGAGGCAAATCTTACTGCTCATAGGCATCTGTTCAAAGGTGAATTGAGAATACTCAGAAAGTGAATCCAGAGCTGTTTTGATTGTGCTTTTAGGTGGCACATAAATGAACTCATCAACATCAAAGAAGAACATCCACTTGGCCACAAACTTGTATCGATGTAAACAATCATTCACCACCATGAATTGATTGTGATAATACCCATCAAATCTCTCTTGATCCCTAATATCCTGCAACGTCACATACCCAAGTTCCATCCATGGCTTCAAAACCTCAAGAACTTGCTCATGGACCCCCCCTGCATCGTGTATCACAAAGTGCGATCTGGGTCCGAAGAGCCTGACATGGTAAGCGATCCATTCTCTAACTCTCTGGGGATTCAAGTTTCCGTACAATGACGAGCCACAGTAGAAGTAGTCGTACTTGGGCGGCGAGGTGAAAATGGAAACATCTAGACCTCCCGGCGACTCAGTGAGGACCTCCATTCTATCAGTGAGGTTAAACTTGGTGTCGCCGCCGCCGGATGTGGAGGCGTAGAGGACCAATTTTCCACCGGAGTTGTCGACATTGACGGGCTCCGAGAAGGTACAGTTCAAAATCACCACCGTGTAGACATGGCCGTAGCCCCAATCTGGAAGCATCTTGTACCCGACGGTGGTTATGGGCTTTGCGGTGGTGTTCACGCGCGGGGTCCACTCACACTCATAGGTCGGCTTGCTGTAGACATGGAGAGGCTTGGAAGAGAGTCCTACAATGGCGAATGTGTTCAGACCTCCTCTGTAAGCACCCATGGTGATGAAGTTATAAGCTGCAGAACCATAAGGATTAAAATCCCGCTTGATGATTCCATCGTCAGAGGCCGGCTGTGTCGGTGACGGTGACGGCGGCGGCGACGACGGTGGTATAGAAAGCAATCTAGATAGCTGGGTAGACTCCAAGGATTCGCCAGAAGAAGAAGGAGGAGGAGGAGGTGGGCCTTGGGGTTGGGAGACCCGTGAGATGCAAACTCGGAGATCAGAAGCAGAGAAGGTGAAGCGAGAAGGAATGAACTGAATAAGAGTCGCGATAGAACAAAGAACCAGAAGAGTTATGAGAAGAAGCTTGAGCTCAGCTGTATAGTTGGCTAATACACCAACAAACAGTTTCTTCTCTTTCGCCATTGTTGCATACAGCTTCTCCTGAATCTTCCCTTTTTCTCTGCTGTGAACAGAGAAGGTGGTGGGGTTGGCGAAAGAGAAGGGAAAGTGTTTGTTGTTTATAGTTGTTTTGTGGGGTGGGTCTATATAATGTGCTTTGAAGAATTTAGATTTAGAATTATTGAAGAATGAAATTAGGGTATTTGGGAGAAGAAGATTATGATGTCACATGATTGATGCTTGATTGAGGGCTGTTGTTGAACTGTGATATGAAGCCCTCCATCTAATATGATTTGTAAAGAAAATGAAATTATTTTATCCTTTAATTCAATTTTTTTGTTAAAATATTAATTGATCTCTTTTAATTTTTAATTCTTCATTATTCATTTCTAAATGCTTTAAATGTTTAAATTATTTCAATTAAATTGATATTACATGAAATTTATTGTTATAAATATATAGATAGAATTATTTAAAATAATCGAAGCAAAATATGTAGATTGAAAAGAGAAAAGAAGAAGCCAGGAAAATGAAATGGAAAATTTTAGAATTTTCAATTTCATTATTGTAAATTTCTCTCTAAAACATAAATTGTCTAAAGTTCTTACGAAACATAAGGAAAAATGTCTATATTGAAGTTGATTTTCAATAGAAACAACAACGTTGAATTGGGTGTTTCCATACCACAATTACGCTATCTCTTTGATTAAAGTAGATTTGATAATATATTACTATAATGTAAAGATACTCTATAAACATAATGGGAAAATTCCTTAATTTTCTCTTACACTTATTTCACGCATGTGCTTGATTGGGGCGTCTGTGACAGCGGTAAAATCAACGATTTTCTCAACCCACCTTTAATTAAATTAAAAAAAAAGCCTTTTTTTTTGCCAAAAAAGAAAAGCCATTAAATACGGACAGATTACAAGGAGAGAAATTTGCCAGGAGGAGTGAAAGACAGCGGAACGGTTTTGTTTATCTGAAAAAAAATAAGGGAGAATTACCCCCAAATTCCTTAGAAGTTATTTAAACTTTTTTTCTTCTCCTTATAGAGATAAAATTATATGTCATCTCAATCAACAGCTTGTCAGTAAACTCCACCTTCTCTTTGTTGTAATTAAATTTTTTTACTTGGATAATTCTAATGAATTTGTGGTTAATTCTGCCTGATTTTTTTTTTCATATAAATAAACCTGTTCCCGAAATTGTGATATTACTCTAAATCCCACTTTCTCTTTATTGTAATTACGATTTAAAGCAGAGCTACTAAAATACTCTCTTTTTTCCAGAAAACAAAACTTATTCATATAATGCAACACTACTTCAAAACTCTTCCCATGGAATTAGATATGGAACTTTCAATAGGAGCAACCCACCCATACAAGAATGGGCCTTAAAGGGCCCAGCCTAAAAGGGCTTTGTCTTTGGAACCACATAAAAGGGCCTTCCCTTTAGAACCACGTATCATAAAATTACTATACTGTTAATGTTCAGATTTCAAACATCCGATCTAAGGATCAGCCCAGAGGCTTTTATGTCATTTTGAACATTTCTATTTTTTTAGTTGTTTGAAATACAAAAAAAAAACACTAAATTGCCTATACTTCTTGATTTAAAACATAAATTTTAGTGAAATAAAGTGTTGAATTATTCCTCAAACTTTTGAAACTAATGTTTCATTGATGGCATATGTTCTCTTATATATAGGTTATTGGTACTTGACTAATTTTGATTTTAGTTGTTCTGGACTTCTAGCCTTTTGCTTAGCCTCTCTTGCAAATTAACGTGTATGTGCCTGTTTGGCAGAGCATTTAAGGAGGAGAAAAGTAACTTATAGAGGTGATGTCATATATGTGTTTTAGGAAATTGCTTTTAAATAGTATATTGCTGTGCGTGTGCGTATATACATACTATAAGACATATTTAACTAATTTGATTAGATTAAAGAAGTTAGGTAAGTTAGTTAATTATAAGAAAAGTGACATATTTTTCCTGAAACACCATAATCATTTTTTTTAATACCACATCTCCTTCTTCTACTTAATTATGGTTGATGAAGTATCCATAAGGGTAATTTAGAAAAAATTGATAAATATGAGAAATGGATCTTACATTTAGGATCAAAACCAACTCAAGAATTGTGTCCTATATTAAGGATTGGAAGAGTACAAGTTTTTGTTGTTTTAATCAATTAATTAATTGGTTCTGTGATTTGTCGATGCTGTGTTTATATACAAGTTTATGTGATGCAGGGATGCTCAAAAAGCAGCATCACGTAGCTTTAAAATATATGAAAAAAATATGTAATGGTTCTAATGAAAAATGATCACATATTAGTACTAAAAATGACAGTCCTTACTATAGAGCCGTCGCATCTTGTTTTATTACTATGACAATTAGGATATAAAAACTGTGATGTATTTGTTTTAATACATGACAATTCTTTTTGTTTTGGCCATTTAATACATGAGAATTTTAAACCATCATGTATTCATCTCAGAGGATAAATGACGCGCTTATACATGAAAGCTACAACCATCATATAAGCGCAAAATTAACCAACACATACCGACAATTCTATGGTAATGTTTGGAGTTAAATTCTTTCTAGAATCGAAAAATCAACATTTTTCAGAAAAGGTATTGATTCAACATCTAAACTTAATTTCAAAAACTTAAAAAAGTCACCTATAGCTACCACTTTATACTCCTAAGATGATAATATCCGTTACACAATAGCCTTACTCGGATGCCAAATATTAGAAATGGCAACGCACCTAAGAGGGGTAAATTGAATGTTGGCAAATTTTAGGATTTTTTAAAAATCTTCTCACAACTGTGTTTCTAAGCAAATTCAAGATTTGAAACTTGTTTGCGAGAATGCTGAACCAATTTCATAAGTACAAAGTGTATATTGAAGCTTGAAATTGAACTACAAAGTTGTCAATACTTAGTCAAATTTTAACACAAAATAGAGTATAAAATTGATGTGATGTAAGATCTGCCTAATTTTAATAAAGTTATATGATGCAAATTTTTTGTTATTTCTAAAAAATACTACTTTTCTTATAGGTTTTTTACATTAGGCATGCCAAAATTATACGTGTGTTTCATTCTCTTGCAGTCATTTCGAATGTCAATAATTTTTTTTTGCAGTTAATAATATAATTTCTTAAAACATAAATTCTCCATGTATTTATAGAAACAGTGGGAGCGGAGAAAGAGAAGTTTTTTTTTTACTTTTATTTTTTATTTTTATGGGTATTGTTGGAAAAACAATGGGAGGAGGGGGTGGAGAGAGTTGTTTTCTCTTTACTATTGTTTTTTTTTGGCTGAGCGCTAGTGGACTTTTTACCGTTAAGAATGAGGAAGCAAACAAGATGATGACGTTGGGAAGCCCTGCCGTGCACGGTGCAACAGCCAACAGGTCCCACCGTCCCAAGGTCCAACCCACCAGTTATATTTTTTTGATGTTTTTTTTTTAAAAAACCAGAACAACCCACCAGTTGTCTCGTGAGGCTTCTCTCTCTCTCCCCCCCTAAAAATTAGAGTATACTCAAGTCATTTTAAATTTAAGACTAATATGTATTAGACTGAAAGTGTTAAGATTAAAACCCTCTTAATAAGTATGCTTCTCGAGATTTAAACTTGTGTTCTTCTCTTTTTGAGAGTGAGACCACTTAACATTTCTACTAGTAGTTTGTTTGTTCTCATGAGGCTTTAGGGGTGGAAACAGGCCAGGCCAGGCTTTACCCTTAACAGGCCAGGCCTGTATTGAAGCCTGTTGGCCTGAGCCTGGCCTGTGGCCTGTGATAGGCCTTATATTCAGCCTAAGCCTGGCCTGTGTAAAAGCCTGGCCTGGCCTGAAGCCTGTTAACAAGCCTGCATTTTTTTAAAAATATTTTAAACATATTTAAATCAACTCAACATTATAATAACTCAATCCAAATTATATAAAATACAAACATAAAATTATCTAAAATATTTAAGTGAAAAATATTTAATATTCAAATGGTAGTATATTATTTTGTTGTTCATGTTTCAAATTATATTATTTAAGTGAAAAATATTTAATAACTTGAGGAGAAGATGTAGTTAAAATGGTCACAATACAAGGGATAAACAGAAATCAAATTCATAGAGGGGTTATTTCTATTGTCAATTGTTGGTGATGTACGTTAGAAAAACTAAGTAGTTTGTATAGGTAAATAAAAGTCAAAAATGACAAACACGAAATCATCATCGGGCAGTAGGATTTGAATGAATAACAAAGTGCATATTATAGAAATCATCATCCAAGGTATATTGAAGAGTAATCCAAACATGGTCTTATTCAGGATAAAAGAGTGGTATTAGGCATATTACAATATTAATCAAAACATGGTATTATTTTTAAAAAGTTAATTATAAATTTATAATTATAATATTTTAAAAAAATATAACAGGCCCAGGCCGCCTAACAGGCTTAACAAGCTTATTAAAGAGCCTGGGCCTGGCCTTTTAAGAGAAACAGGCCTTTAAAAAGGTCTGAGCCTGTTTTAATTTGGAAATAGGCCAGGCCAGGCCAGGCTACTTACAGGCCAGGCCACAGGCCGCCTGGCCTATTTCCACCCCTATGAGGCTTCTCTATTTTAAGTAAGATTTGGTTAATGTGCTCGTTTTATTTGTCAAATTAATGAATAATTAATTCCACACCCCTACTATATGTATATTATGTCATTTTTACTCTTGTCATTTTTTTTTCTCTTCACTACTTACTATATGTTTTTCTTTAAAAATTTAGCTTTTTTAAGAAAAAGTAATCAATCTAACCTTATAAATTCACGTTAAATTTTTTTATTACATCCTTGTAGTTTTAAATTCTCTAAAACCATCCTCATAAAATTTGTCAAATATTTTGATGTGTTATTTTGAGTTTTGATTACATATGAAAATTGTTAAATAAAATTTTTGTCATTACAATATTACATGATGCTGCATTGCTCGGAATGTGTTTGAAAAACATTTTAAAAAAATCCTGAGTTTTTAACGGATTGTTGCGATCATTTTTACCCTCCTTTTTATATCCATAACGGATTAAATTGAAATCACATTAGATGACGTAGGATAGCATTCACTATAATTCTACGCAGGACAAAATTTATGTTAAGT